TGAAGTAACTAGCCCTTTTTTAACCTCCTTGTATATATATATCGCCTAATTTTGCTCGATTTTTTAATTACGGCGATCAGGCGGTGTTTTAATGTAAAGAATACCTTGAAAGACTGACTGAAGTAACTAGCTGGGAAGCATTTTGTATGGAAATTATGTAGCCATTGCATCAAGATTCTTCTGTACATGTTTTTTTAATGTCTATTGTTTATTGTGAATGCCAGGATGGTCCCAAGCTACCTAACAATAGCTGTCTTGGCACCCCCGCCAATTTACATTAGGCAGACAATTAGCATTTAATTGGAGCCGCCACCGGCTATGTAAATTCTGACCTAAAATACTAGTAAGCCAATCGTCTCATACCCCGCATGAATCGACAGCCAATCAGTGCTATGATACAAATTTCAAATCTGTCAGTTGGAGTGGACGTCACTCTATGTTTGAGCATTGCAGAGTGTGCACTGTGCAATCTAATCTTACCGTTCTATAAAATGTCTACGGTTTCTTGAACCATGAAAAACGAGACGATGAGAACTTAGCCATCATCCTCAGGGAAAAGTACGGCTGGAAGAATTACCTCCCAAGCAAACTCCAAGAGCAAGACTACCGCTAGGCTGAGCAGAAACATGCACGGGGAACCCTGCCAGATTGCCCGACGCCACCCGGCGTCTCTCGCCAAGGACGGAAGATTTTTCATGTAAGCGGTTCATATTTGTTCCATATGGTTTTTTTAATGTTGACATGTTGTACATTGAATTTGTTTGCCACTTCCTTTGCCTTGTTTTCGTCGGAAAATATCTAACGAACGATTATGTACCATTTCAGCAAATGGAGAGGGGACACAGAAAAGCAAGACAGCCGGACCGGACAACATACACACAAGAGACAAATCCCCGAGCCCACCTGAAAGCGTCGAGGGGAGAACTATATCCGCCCCACGGATGTCCCACTAAAAGGAAACAGCCGCTCTAGCCACCGGTAGAACAAACGCCGGACAGCTAAAGTACTACACAGGAGGATATCCCTGGACGCTGTATGTAATAACCAGTGAGGTCCGATCCGGGCACTAGCCTCTACCAGGCTTTGGGAGGCGGCCGGAAAGAGTAAAAATCGGCCAAATAGAGAGATAAGCATGCCAAGGGAGTTTGTCTCAACGGACAAGCCAAGGGAGTTCTCCGTTGAGACAAACTCCCTTGGTATGCTTATCTCTCTATTTGGCCGATTTCTACTCTTTTCGGCCGCCTCCCCAAGCCTGGTAGAGGCTAGCCGGGCACCCGTCGGCAGGTGTCCGAGGAGCCTTCCAGACAGAAGGGGTCTATCAGCAAACGGATCAGAAGGACTTTTACACATGAACCGGCTGGTGATCTAGACAAGCATGAGCAGACAGAACAACAGCTTTTTATTGTAGTATTGCCTTGATAATTTTGAACATCGACAAGCAATGTTATGCAGACAGACTTTCAGTTTTATTGTGTTTTCAACAAATTGGTAAGCTTTCGTAATTGCAAAATATTTTTGCGGCTAAAACAAGTTTGTTGATTTTCTTCCTGTTTGAGTGATTAACCTAGTACATTACCTTTTAAAAATAAGCTTTAACCAGCTTTCTTGTTTTTGACTGTTATATGTGAATGATGCCCGAAGGAGGCCATATATGTATATGTGAATACATGTAAAAAGAATAAAAAGGATGCTGAATAAATTTTGCGTACCATTTGTCGTATATTACAGAATTTAAGAACGCTTTAAGGTGCTTATATGTAGCGTAAACATTACGATTTGTAAGCTTACTTTACAGTGCTTAAAAGTTGCTTAAATAAGTGCCATTAAGTACCTTTACGGATAAATTAAGCTATCTTAAATCACTACATTTAAGGACCCTTTAAGACGCTTAAATGTAAACATTAAGATTTAAGCTAACTTTACGGTGCTTAAATGTTGCTTAAAAGAGTGCCATTAAGCACTTTACGGATAAATTAAGCTAGCTTAAATCACTGTATTTAAGGACACTTTAAGACGCTTAAATGTAGCGTAAATATTTAGATTTAAGCTTACTTTACGGTGCTTAAATGTTGCTTAAAAGAGTGCCATTTAGCAACTTACGCACAAACTTAAAGCTGGCTTAAAATTAATATTTAAGCACGCGTAAAGATTGGCTTAAATTTGCTTAAAGAGTGCCAAAACGGAACCTTTAAGCATGCTTTAAGACTGCTTAAATACCTGATTTCGTGCAGTGCCTAAAATGTGCTGCATACTACTCACTAGTTTTTTAAGTTAAGTATAGAAGTTAGAGTAGTATGCAGTAGACTCCTCTGGATTCCAATCAAAACACAGATATCATCATCATCATCACCTGTGATATGTACACACACACACCCAAACATATGCACACACTCACAAACAGACCTAAACACATGCACACACACACAAAATGAGCAAGTTTTCAGATGGGCGGTGAAGATTGACGGGAATGCAGTGCGATAAAGATTGGAATGATACTCTTTGCCCATACAGAATTCAAACAAAGATCTGCTGGCCAAGCTGACTCCTGCGTTGGCTGTGTTCCATGCATACGGCGACAAAACTTCATGTCAGGTATAAACATGTCATCACACAAATTTTGCTCAAATCATCATTTTGTTCATCTTTCCACCACATTGGCCATTTCCTGGTAACGATAATGAATGGATAACAAATGTTTTACAGCTTAAGTACAACACTAGGAGGCTGTCTGGATTTGGTTTGACGGATGGGGAGTCTGTTGAGAGGATGTGGGCTTATCTCCGAAGATTTGCAAGCACAACAAAGGAGATGACGGCATCTCGCCGTGTTGACCTCCTGACTGATGCCCTCCTGCATTACACTAGGCGAAAGTCCAGTGACATGGGTAAGCATTTCACATCTCTCTTCATTGATATTGTCTTGTACGGTCTATTCCAGCTTTATCATTTCATGTGTCAACTCGTGTCTGTAGATGTATGTAATAATTGTAATAATTCATTTAAGACTTTTAATTTTGATGAAACATGATATTAATATTATCACACACTAGATCAAAGGGGTATGGAAAACTCATTGAAAGATCTTTGCTACATTGTTTGGGACAATTAACTTTAAATTGGAATTGTATTAATTTTTCCTGCTAAAATTTGGTTCATTGTTTGACATTTTAGAGCTTACTCTTAAGAAGAAGCTGGATAGTGCAAGGAAGTCTGAGTGTGTTGCCCAAGAAGGTCTGGCAGCTGTTATGGAGGATGCAAATGGTAATTTATTATCCACTTATCTGTCATATGGATATCAAGTTGAACCAATTACATTTATAATGTCATGAAAATGTAGAAAAAATGAAACCTCATGCGGATGCCCTGGATGTTGTCATGTACAGTAAGTCAAAACTCGAACATTTTCTGTATGCCTGTATGTCAGGAAACAAATAACAGCCAGTTTGAGAGAGCATGCTATATAAAGACATCAATGCTAATTCTTTCCATGGATGATCCAATACATGATGTGAATATTCTGATAATTTTTAAATGCTTAGAAAGTGTTCAACATGTATTCGTAAGACTTCTGATACACATCATGGCAACCATTGTTTTTTATGATATTAGTATATGTTTTTCCCTTCACTTTATTGGCAACTTTAAATCTATATTTAGTTCTTCAAGGTTGTACCCTTGGTATAATATTTGATATGTGACTATTATTTGATAGTCTCAATGGATGACATAAAAACTTGGGCAACGAGGGAAAAGGAGGCCATTTGGAGGGAAAAGAGTCCCACTCGTAAGTACAAGGTAGAATACTGGTTTTGGTTGCGTTTATGTGTTTACACCTACACGTACAACTAGCTTGGACAAAATTGTCTGAATATCAGTACATGGTTAGTTATTGATAGAAAGCAGAAATAACCACTTTGTCTGAATATTGGTATGTGGCTAGCTATTGGTAGAAAACAGAAACATGTTGATTTTGGCAGTTTAGCAGCATCTTCAGGTAATGTATTAAGATACTTGGACACCCCCATGCGGTGTGTCGGGTGCATTTTGTATCATACGAATGTCAATGTCAAAATGTGACATCAGCCTTTTAATAGCCTGGTTACCAAACCTATTTTAGCTCCCGTGTCTTTTCCCTCTCAACAAACTTAGGATGAAGACTTTGTTAACCAAGCTAATATTTTTTCAAGGCATGTAGTGTGTCCGGTTATATTGCGATTAATGTGATGTTACAAATTGTTAGCAGTCATTGTGAACGTTTGTATATGTTTGCAATACTAGTATTTGCGCTATTGTAACATATACTCCCTGGAGATTTGGAATGTTAAGTTTCTTGTCTGTTAACTTGTTAGTGTTAAACACTGCTGGCCTGGCTCTAGAACCTAAATTTCTGGAATCATCTGCACTGTTTCAGCAACACGTCCAGGGTGGAAGCAGGATTATGCAACAAAGTTACAGAAGTTAAAGGCAGTCCGGTGAGCATCTATCTTCTATTGATTCTCTCAAGTGTTCACTTTGCATATTCTGAGGTTGCCTTCACATCCTGAGAAATTAAACTTTTGATACAAATTTTATCTTCAAAAATCAAGGACAAACAGATATGTATGATGCAAAAATTCTTTAAATGTGTGACAACATCGGTGTAACTTTATAATCATGATTTGGTAGTATGTTACTAGTTTGAGATACATTAGTAAAGATATCCTATTTTTCATCTTTTGACCAAATTTACCAGCTTGAAATCTGTAGCATCAAGTTTGCATTATATTTTTCTTCATGTTATATCTACTGCAGAAACAAAATACTTACGACCAATGAGGATGATGCAGCTGTCTACCAATCATCATTTGCACAGTATGTAGAGCCTTACCCTGTCTAACAATTAATCAACCAGTCTACCACTAATGCAGACTTAATTCTGTTAATTTAAAGAAATTAAAAAGGCACAAATGGTTATTTGACACAGAGTTTTCATGCAGTTGTTAAAGGCTTTATTTAATTGCATTATGCCCTGTTTCATTTCAATTTCCCAAATGTCATTTTATGCATTATTACCTTCATACATAGGCTATTGGCCATATTTGTTCTGGACTTTATGTCTATGGTCCATGGAGAAAATTCAAGTACATAATGAATGTGATTATTTCCACTTTTGCATGTGACAGCATGCGACCAATGTGTTTTAAAAAACCGGATGTTATGAACTTTTACATGCAAAATCTTTTTAGCAGACAATGTGGTAGAATTATTGGTGTTGAATAGTGGAAATTTCTATCCATTTTATCTTATGAAAATGTGTACACATAATTTATTACAATAAGTATCATTTGGAAAAATTGTTCATTTTTTTCTAATCAGACTTGATAAGGAGCTCAGAGGGATTGAAAGGAAGAGGAAAATCATAAGATGGACAGAAACAAGCGAAGAGTTCCTCAACACGATGCGGGAGGTAGACTGGAACACCCGGTCCAGTCTACTCTCTAAGATGCACAGCCTTGCCTATGAACGGTCGTTCCTGGCATCTCTGAAGAGGAAATACCCAGGTTGGTACATTCACATCATTTCTGTTACTTTGAAATATGCTACCTGGATTTCGTTCCTTTTATGCTTAAGATTGCATTTTTTTTTGTTTTGTTTCAGACAATAGGGGTGTAGTGTTAGGAAATGCATAAGGCAAATAACATCTGCATGTAAAACTTTGGACTAGTGTCTGTTTTTCACAACAACATTGCAGAGATGAGATTTGTATTACATTATTTGGTGGGAGATGATGATAAGTCTACTTAGAACAGTATCATTTGTTACTTTATGCAGATGGTCAAAAGATCGCCGCAAAAGTGGCCAAGCAGTTGAAGGCGACTAACTCCAAACTGCAGAAGACGATCGACACCTACAATGCAGTAGAGTGGGAACCAACTGTACCAACTCTCCCAAACTCTGTGCAGTTTAGAGAGGCATCCGATTCTACTTGGCAGCATTATTCGTGCCTTGACCCTACAGTTTTGGTAATTTTGGATTATATTTTTGCTGCTTAGAAGTAAACCAATAGTGAGTGAGTGAGTCAGAGTGTGAGAGTGACTGCTTATGGTCTTTGTATGAATCTGTATTTGTGTCTGTGCATGTGTCTGTGTGTGTGTGTTGATGACCTCTAGCAATTGCTAGACCGGGGGGGGGCTAAAAGTGCCCGCGGCAACTTTGATGTCACCTAGCGTCTGAACGGCTAGCCGTAGAACGGCCAATTTTGGTGACTTTTCCTAAAATATTGTTGGCAACAATTCTTCATAATTGGAATAAGATAATAATTTTTTGTGTTGCCATGGCAACGGGTTTCTGACAGGCATTTTTTGCTAAATTTAGTACTTTTTGTTTCAACAATAGAATTTTTTGGGTTTTATATCAAGTTACTCATGGTTTCTAATATTAATAACATCCCATATAATTTTATGTAAATTTTATCATTAAATATGCATAATTTATGCTAATTTGATGACGTCATTGGCCAAAATCCAAGATGGCGGACCATATCATTAGAACAGGTATATACGGGCTATTTTCATTAAAATTTCATCAATACTTCCATTTCTTTTTACAAAAAAGGTTTGAATGAAGGTGTTTAGTATGTTTACAATGTATTTTAGGCTTTATCATGAAAAAAAAACTATTTTTGAAAATTCAAGATTGATGATCCAAGATGGCGGATATCTTAAATATACATGACGTCATTTTATGACGTCACCGGTGTTGCTATGGGCAACATAAGACTTAGTACACACTAATATTCTGTCATAAACACTTTTGGTAAAGTTATGTTGTATACCAGGGAAGTTTTCAGGGAAAACCTATTTAGACGGTTTTGGCCAATAAAATCACATTAATGACGTCATAATGACGTCATATTACGTCATAACGACATAAAAATTGTAGATATGATAAATTTTCACTAGTACACCATTCTCTGAAAATTTGGTGGTCATACGATATACCGTTCGCGAGTTCTTAGGGGGGGG